CCACTATCAGTAATGTCTCCAAGCGGTTTACCCCTCTTTTTTGTACACGGAGGGGTCTTTCATAAGAAGTCATTTGCGGTTTTGTAGGGAGAAACCCAAGAGTGTGGTGGCAGGAATGTGTGCCTCGCGATAGGCCATGAATGAACACTTGTAATATTTCTTATTATGATTGATTTGCCCTACTGACACACTTATCACTACAATGGTGGGAATTCTAGCTCTGACAGGTTCGGATCCTGATAAACTTTGAAAATTACGCTTCGCCAGATCCTTTGTAGGACCTATCAGCCATTCTGCGCCACAGGCTGCACTGCTGGGTTCGCCAACATCTGGTCCTGGTGCTGCTTGCTCCAAGTCCTGCACACGGGAATTGAGTGCCCGTGTAGCATCCTCATTCAGATCCTTGTGGTTCCGCATTGTCTGTCGGAGATTCGCCAGCTCGGACTGCAGGTGGTTACAAGTGTAAACCAACCGGTTCACGAGTTTGGATAGAAACTCCTTGTGCTCCTCCTCTGGTGTTGCGTCGTTGTTGCCCTCGGATGGTTCACAATGCCAAAACTTGAGCTTGTCGACGCTGGTGGCTTTGTGCCGCTGCAGCAGATCTTGGGCCTTTTTGTGGTGGGCCTGGGCATCTGTATCATCTGCGGCCTGAAGCTGCTGCTTTTCAACTGCTGCCTCCACGTCAGCCTGGCGCTGTTCCTCAACCTCGATAAGTGGGAGCTGAGCTAGAAACCACTGTAGGTACTCGACAATGGACTCGTTGTCAAGTTGGTTTGGCATGCCCAATGATGAACCTGTTATAGTAGCGGGGCACTGTTGACGTGGCACTGCTGCTGACGTGGCACTGCTGCTGACGTGGCACTACTGCTGACGTGGCATTGCTGCTGACGTTGCACGACTGCTGACGTGGCACTGCTGCTGACGTGGCATTGCTGCTGATGTGGCAATGCTGACGTGCCACTGCTAACATGACACTTTTGCTGACGTGGCACTGCTGACGTGACACTTACCAAACCGGGAATGTAGGCAAAGGGTTGGGTGGGAGGGAAAACGCAGGAAGGTAGCTAACCAAACTGTACTTTCCTCCCGGTCCTAATCAACAGAATAAAAAAAAACAAAAAATAAAAGAAGAGGATCACCTTTTTTTTTTTTTTTTTCCGTATATCTGTCGATCCTCTACGAGTGAGGCATTTCAGAGGAGTACAATGAGTGAGATGTAGGCAAGGTTTAGCAAAGTTTCGACTTAAAAAAAAAAAGGTGATCTTGAATTCTTTTTTTTTTTTTTTTTTTTTTTTTGCGCGCGAAATAGACTGGAGGTTCCACTTTCCAAGAAGAATAGATCTAGTCCAAGAATATGACAACCTCCCTTAAGCTAGTTTACCTAAATGCCCATAGTAAAACTGAAAACGAAATGCTAATATCCGAACTTTTTCCGAAGTTGCAAAAAGAGAAAAAAAATTGCAAAAATTTAACGAAGTCCTACTTGATTTACTAATAATCTGTCAATCAATCAATCAATCAATCAATCAATCAATCAATCAATCAACAATCAGTAGATCAAGCAAGCTGGCTACTTGATCGGGCGGATCCTCTGATTGAGAGGTCTGCTCCGATACCAAACTGTCACATACCGTAAAGGTGCAGACCAGAATAAGAACCGACCTCTCTCACACAGTACAAGATAGCGCAGCGGAAGGCTAATATACCAATGATCCGAACAATCAATGTTGCAATGCAGACCAAACATACATCATCATAATTCCATGGTGTGAAGGGGCCTGACGCTCACACAGGAAGAATGCGGCAGTCCCCAACCATACATAAACGAAGAGGAGCGGATTTAGACGAAGCAGAGGGGAAGATGGGAATGCCGCCAACACCAAGTCTTCGGTACAGGTCCCAAATAATCCCTTGTCCAATGTCTCAATCCCAATGTCGAGTCTGAATCCAAATGTCGTCAAGTCCCAAGGTCACCAATCTCTCTCTCTCTCGTAGTTTGCAGGTACTGAGAAGTTAGGTAGCGAGAGGGTGAGGGAGAGATGGTGGACTTAGAAGAGGAAGAAGACGAACTCTCTCTTTCTCTCTCTGTCCGATACTAACCTGTGAAGGTGGCGCCTTGTTGCAGGTATATCGAAGACGAAGAAGGAGCTATGGTGCCACAGGTAAGTCTCCCTGACCTCCGCCAACCATCTCCTCTCTCCAACGCTACTCTAGCTCCTAAAAGCGTCAGCGCTGAAGACTATGCCAACGCTACTACTACTACTGCAGCCTGCGTGGCACCCTCGGCCTCGGCCGCAGGATCCCAGCCCGCGACCGACCTCCTAGGCCGCAGGCCCGCGACCGAGGCCGCGCGGCCGCGCTATGCCCAGGCGAGGGTGCATGCGCAAAATCGGCGCGCGCGCTCCGCCTGCGCACGTCGGCCTCTATAGGCCTCTGCAAAAAAAAAAAAAAAATAAAAATAAATTTGGGGGGGCGATTTTTTGTGTGTGAAAAAAAAAAATAAAAAAAGAAAAAAAAATAAATCGATTGATTGATTGATTGATTGATTGATTGGTTGATTGGTTGATTGATTGATTGATTGATTGATTGGTGGGGGAGGGGTCCTCCCTCCCCTCCCCCCGGCACACACACACACACACACACACACACATACATACACACACAC